ACGCATAAAAAGGGGAAATGTCCTCTTTATGTGCGTCTCCTCTACCGTCAGTTAAGGGTAGGCAACGCATTTGCAATTGCGGATGTTTATGGGCAGCGGTCGCTTTCCCTTTCAGTGGATTCAGGCAGAAAAAAAAAGTAGTTTTTTTCTTTTTTTCAACACTAACGAAGTTTCAGACAGCAGCTAGTTGTAAAATAATTTATGTATTAAAGTTAACCGCTACTTTGTAAACAACTGTGTTATTGCAACTTTAAATTACCCCCTTGGGATCTAAAAGAGATGAGCTCGTTGCAACAAGAATATTAAAAGTCAAGTTTGCTGAGAATATTAACATAATATAATATACATTAAAATACAAAAGCTTTATGTGGAGCTTTTTCAATTACTCTCCTTTGTTAAGTTTAACTTTTGTAAGAGATCAAGTTATTAAACTTAGCAAGTGTTCAGATGTTAACTGTTTATACAAGTGTGTGTATAACTTAGTTGTATAATGTAGCTATCTAAAGGTAAAAGAATTATTAAAAGATTATTTGAGTTTATTTGTTACATACGTAATTACAATCTCTATAATATTAGTATAGAAATATACAGAAAGAAGATTACTTACATTGTGTTAGTTTTTTATCATCATCATCATCTCCCCTTATTCTTCTTCCGTATGGTACGTCGTTCGTTCTCCACATAACTCTATCATACGTCATCTCAGTCATCACTCCCTTCTTGATCATGTCACCTTTCACGCAATCCATCCATCTCTTTCTAGGTCTACCTCTACCGGCTAACCACCGTATTCATAACTAACGTCCTTCTTGTTACATACGATTCATCCCTTCTCATAACATGTTATGCTTCTTTTCTCTTAGATTATTAATTACATTATCTATAAGTGTAAATAATAACATGTTAATAGTGTAATCTGTTTAATTATTTTTAATATTGCTCGAGACTTTGCCAGCATGAAGTTAAAAAAAAGCCTATGTTATTTACAGATAAATTACCTTTCTAACGGTGAAAGAATTTTTGAAATCGGCCCAGTAGTTTTTGAGTTATTTCAATACATACAAAAATAAAAATCGTTCCTCTTTATATTTGTATAGATAAAAGTAGGTAAAAATCATATTTATAAAATCAAACGTTTATTTGTAATGTGAAATGAACGGAGTAAATCCGCTAAAACCCGTTAATACAAAGCTCAAAATATGTTTAGCAGTAAACGAATTGCCCAAAGCATTATGGAAATCGCTTTTAAACATTAATTTCGAAACATTGCGAGAAATTATCGCTACTGTAGTGAGGTGGTATTCATTTGTTTCATTAGAAAATGTAGCAAAATATTATAAACTTTTGAATTGTAAATATTTAAAAGTATAGTTTAACAAGCTAATGTGATCCGTTGAGGCAAAGTGATTTGTTGCAATAGCCCCTAATGTTCCTGTCAATCAATGTAGAAAACGTGTTCTTCCTTACTAAGTTGAACTGTAGTATTTATTATAAACTTGTTGTTGTTCGCGATTTCTCCCGCGTGAAATTAAAAAATGTAGCCTATGTTACTCACAGTTAAATTACCTTTCCAACGGTGAAAGAATTTTTAAAATTGGCTCAGTAGTTTTTGAGTTACTTCAATACATACAAAGATTCAAATCTTCAATTATACCTAAGTTAGTTTTCACTAATTTTTTAACAGAACTAACCTCATAGCAACGCCCAATTCTAGGAACGAGCTGATTTAGTCAGTCTTTTGTTTTTACTTTTTTAATTACGTTTAATATTAAGGTGTATTTAACACTTTAATGGTACTTTGAACCTTAATACGATTGCAGTAGAGTCTTTATTATTTTATCACACAATTTACAGCATAATTTCTCTTTGCATTTGTTAAAGCAATTAATCATTTAATACTGAAGAAATATTTAAAGCCCTCGAGGACTTTGCGATGAATGGAATTGTCGGGCGTCGCTCGAAGCGCTTCAAATGAAAATATTTGAAGCAATTCCACGGGATAAATTAGGCTATTTTTCAGAGGTGATTTCAAAGTCAAACGGTATAAGAATGATTTATTATGTCATTTATTTATGAAAATGTAAACGTAAAAATCCTTTTCACACAAGTGAATGGTGACAATTATGACAAAAAAACATTTTTAATGTTGATTTTTTGTCGAAATTACAGTACTGTGGTCCTATTATTTATTAAAATCGCTAAATTTCTTATCAAGGTAAAAAATTAAGAGAACATTTTTGAACCAAAAAATCTTGAATTAGTAAAAACCTTCATCGGTATGCTTTTAGAGAAATTGAACAACTTAATAATTCAAAGTTCGCAAGCTTTCTATTTTATATTGTATCAGTCTCATCTGAAACTATTCCATTAAAATAAACTCCAATTTTACTTTCAAAAATGCCTTCGTAACATTGTTACTATAACTTTTCTGTTTCATTAATCGTTTTGAATTCTACCATGTTCATTGCTGGTTATGTTTGAACAATAACATGTGTTGTTTGTAATGCAGCAATGTGCGGGTGCCGTGTGGCGGCCTGCGTAGCCGCGCTGGCGGCGGTGAGCGTCGCGTTACCGGGCGCCGTGCTGTCGCTGGACCTCAACAAACTCTACGGACATCACACCAAGAGATCCGGTATTTATTAATGACTAGCTGTTGCACGCGACTTCCTCTACGTGAAATTTAATATTTATTTAATATATAGCTTTCTAATGGTGAAAGAATTTTTGAAATCGGCCCAGTAGTTTTTGAGTTATTTCAATATATACAAAAATACAAATCTTTCCTCTTTATAAAATTAATATAGACTAGCTAGTCAAAAAACAATAAAATACATTTTATAATGTACGTAAATAGCTATTTACGTACATTATAAAATGTATTTTATTGTTTATATTTTGTAAATCTTTCAATGGAATATGTCTATATCTTACTTAAATGATTATGAAGAAACTTACTACGGGCTGAGAATTTAGATTGATTGAATGACTGAAGAAACGAATGAACGAATGATAGAGCAGTATTAATTCACGTCCATAACCACGTAGTCGTTCACTTAATTACCTTTCGCATCATTACCATTCCGATTCTAACTTCGACCAGTCAGCTCCTAAAGGGAAATTACCGTTTCAACGTTGATTCATCCAGAAGGAGCAGTAGCGCCAACATAACGACCCCGGCCGTCTAATGACAATCAGTAGTGCCAACGTAACGACCCCGGCTGTCACTTAATGACTCCTAAGGTGTGGCCAAGTAGGTCGCTTCTACCGGCTTTTATAATGAAAAAGATTGCCTGTTACTTTGGTAGTAGTATTCAGGACTTAAGATACGTTTATAACTGTACTATACTGTAGGTTTATTCCTCTTTGAACTTGTCAGTGTTGCTATTTTTAATACGCTATTGATTTTCAAAAATTTCACAAGTTTGATGCTTTATATTGATGGTACAGTCGTATGCTAAACAAGTTTTGGTACAAATTTAAAAAATACGATTTACACTTGAAAGAGTATTTATTTTCTTTAGAATATAAATCGTATATTTTATTGGTGTAGAAATAAATGAAAACTACATAATAAAACAGTGCTATTTAGAACAAATGTTATTGTGTAAACGTTTTTGTTAATTTATTTATCACTATCTGGGAACTTAAAGAATAATTAAATAACTTAAAAAACATAGCCTATGTTACTCACTGATATAGTAGCTTTTTAATGGTGAAAGAGTTTTTGAAATCAGCATAGTAGTTTTTGAGTTATATTAATACATACAAAAATACAAATCTTCCCTCTTTATAATATTAATATAGACTAACAGTTGTTCCCGACTTCGCCCGTGTTAAATTAAAAAATAAGCCTATGTTACTCACAGATAAATTACCTTTATAAAGGTGAAAGAATTTTTAAAATCGGCCAAATAGTTTTTGAGTTATTTCAATAGATACAAAAATACAAATCTTTCCTCTTTATAATATTAGTACAGATTATTAACTTAACAGTTATATAATAAACTAGCTATCAAAATGAAGCCTATGTATTCTTCCAGATGTTCTACGCGTACATCTGTACTAATATCATCGAGATCCGTTAAGCAGTTTAGGCTACAAACTCTAACAAACGTCCATCCAGATTTTCGCAATTTTAATATTGCTTTAGTCATGTTTAGTTAAATGTTAAATCGTAAATATACACATATAACATATATACATATATGTGTATTTTTACGATTTAACACTATATAATTAAATAAAAAAAAAAACATATCATCGAATTGAATACCTCCTTCTTTTGGGAAGTCGGTCAAAAAGATATCTAAAAAATTAATCTAACCAACTAAAAATGATACCAAGACGAGTTTAACCTAAATTGTTGGTAATCTTTTTTAATTCGTTTCAGTGGACCCTCGGCTGTAATGACTGGAGCAATTTCAGTTTACAGCCAACATTAACACGGTTACGACTTTCACTGTCCACTTCACACATATATTTACATTGAATATACTTGTTCGTTTTTGGCACTTCGTCCACAATCTTGCTACAATTTGCAACAAAGCACTATACCACTTTTTGCCGGAGATTTAAACAAGTTGAAAAATCTAGTGTTGAATGCCTGTTACTTAATGTGTCCGGACCTAAATTATGAAAGAATTTTGGAAATCAGTTTTTGATTTTATATGTATACTAGCTGTCACCCGCGACTCCGTCCGCGTGGAATTAAAAAAAAGCAAGTAGCTTATGTGTTCTGCCAGACTATCCTCTACATCTATACCAAATTTCATCGAAATCCGTTTAGCCGTTTAGGCTACAAACTCTAACAAACATCCATCCATTCTAAACTCTCGCATTTATGATATTAGTATGATAACATACAAAAATACACATAATTTATCTTTAATATTAGCTACCACTGACGTATAAATAACAATGACGTTTAGATGAAAAAAATAAAAGTCACAAAATTAACTAACCTACATGGTAATTACCACTGAAATTCTAAATTTAATGATACTAAAGTACAAGGTCCAATGGACCTTTAAACCTAATTTATTTGTAATACGAAGGGTTCAGAGATCGAGGGTTGATATGATTACCTCATTTGATGCTGGCAGCTTGAAGGTTAATGTGTATCTAATGGGTCAAAGGTTAACTTTGTTAAGGAATTTTCTTACATCTCTGATATAAATACAGTCTTGATTAAACGTGTTAAACAAACCGACATTGTTATAAAAAACAAAAGGAATCCTATGTGTTATTTCAGGCTATCCTCTCTCTCTCTCTCTACATCCATAACAAGATTCGTTCAGCAGTTTAGACTACAAACTCTAACAAACATTCATATATATTTTCTATCAAAACAAGTCACTCTCGCAATATAAAATTAAGTTATAAATAAGTTAAGTTAACTTAAGATGAAAGCGGAGGATGCAAATTAAAGCTACGTTCTTTTCTCGCGAAGGAAAACCACTTTATGTTAATTAAAAAATAAAAAGGTGTTTTCATTTTGCTCGTTTCCCTCAATTTGTTTGACGTAGTTTTATTTCTTGAAAAACGAAGTGAACGTTCAATTTACTTGGAATATACATTTTTTATTGCTTAATTAATGTACAAAAGTACTATCTCTGTCTTAATTTGAAGACTGTACATTTATTAAGGTGGACAGAGCTAAAAAAACAATTAAAATGTACGCTATAAAAATGTTTCGTACATCATAAGAGGTACTTAAAATAAATAACTGTTTATACAAAAACCTTCATTATTTTTATTACATTGCGAAGGATGAACGTGTATTTGATGATAGATAGCGTTAAAAAGTCATCAAAAAATACGTATTTAGATTTTGTATAAAACATTTTTTTTACAATTATTGAAAGTTATAACTTCGTTTGTTTAATTTAATTACTTTATAACAACTAAACAAAGATGGACTATCTTAAAAGAATCTTTAGCCTCCCTTTTAACCTTAATTTAAGTCCGCTACATACGCTTATTTTTATCAAAACAGTCGGGTCGTTCAGATAAATCTAACGAGTGTACGCAAGCTTAGAACTGAACAGTTTTCAATTCTGTTAGATTTATCAGATTGTTCAAATAAAACTGTCAGATAAATCTGAGCGTGTTTAGCGAGCTTTTGTTATGAACAATATTTTATAGAATATTTCTATAACATTCTAATTTCTGCCTTTATCTTGTGATAGAGTACTGTCACCCGTACGAGCCGTTCAAGTGCCCAGTGGATGGTAACTGCATCTCCATCCAATATCTGTGCGACGGCGCTCCTGACTGCATCGACGGGTACGACGAGGACTCCAAGCTGTGTACCGCAGGTAAGTCAAATTAACACTTATTCTTTAATGTTGAAAGTTGCATTTCGCTTGAACGCACGTTCGATCATGTTCAGTTTAAAAGCCGAAGGTAGCGTGCCAGGACAATGTTACAAATTTATCGTAGCTTTCTTTTGTTAAAAAGGGATAGATTTAACAAACATTTGGGAAGGGTGAAAAGGATAGCAATACTTTACCGATAAGGTGATACGCGGAAAGAATATTTTCGCGGAAAAACGAGGAGTTTTGTACTAGTTGATTTTTATACTCTTATAAAACCCTCTAGCTCGATTTAACTCACGCATTCATAGCAAAATTGATCTATTAATTAAATTAATTACTATGACCTAGTTTGTACCATCTCATACGTAATATAATTACCATTAACTGGTTAGATGTAATCGTGTCAGTGTGCATTTTGATGCAATATTTAGTTATGTGTTATGAGACGAGCAGTGTCAACTAACTTCATAGTTAAATAGTTTCTATGCGTCAAAAGGAAATATGAAATCAGACTTTTATTTGGACATGGTATTTTTCGTAGAACTATGTCTACAACAGTGCTACGCAGCTACGAATGTGCTACGACACCTGCTAGCGCAGAACTTATTTCGAACATTGTTCTTCAAACTTTCAAATAAATTGCTTTAATAGCCATTGAATTATTATTTCCAGTTATAAGACGTTTTGATAAATTTATCTTTGCAATTATATTGATTCGTATAGTCCAATCAATAACAAAAATAATTAATAATAATTAATAATCTAACAAAAGGGCGCTTCTATCGCCTGCTTTATACCATTATTTGTAATGTATCTCAACACATTAGATCCATTTTTCCCCGCAATATAGTGAGGGAATTTATATTTCTGGTCAGAATATACTTTGATACGCCACAATATGCCACAAAAACATTTTGATGTCTTTTTTCATGCAGTAAAAGAGATGGATGTATTTATTTTGCACAGGTGTTTCGGCAATATAAACCCACGGTTATAATAGGCCGTGTGACCTTTGCAAACGCGACGACTTGTTAACAATCGTGTATCGGTTGACCTTTTACGAACCACTCGATGTCTGCCGAATATAGATTTTTTTAGAAATCAGTACTTTAATATTTTTCATGCTATTTTTAAATAAATTAAAAACAATAGAAAATCACTAAGGCTAATTATTAACACAATAATTTATGTCTCAACAGAAAATTACGAAATAAACACTAACCGTAGATGTTTACTGGCGACACACTAAAAATATGCAATCACTCTAATTTAAAAATTCTGAGATAACATTAAGCAGTGAAAACCTACGTTTATGTAAACGCATATACATGCGATATGTTACCTAAATAACATTACATATTTCTCTCTATAATGTACAATCGGGGAATCAGGCAGTAGACCTTTATAGCTACAGTCGTTTGATTTTGTACCTATTGGGACGACGCGGAACGTTAGGCTAATTATTTTTTATTATTATACCGTAATTTCTGCAACTAACTACATAATTGTAAGAAGAGACGGAGCTTGTCTCATTGCAAGGTAGTTCTGTAAGTGGACCACTACGGATTTTCGCAACTATACATTGCCGTGTGTATATATTCCTAGCTATGGCCTAGATTTATAGATTGATCTAACGAATTTGAATATAACAATAACTTCTGTAAACTCCCTTCCCCTTGCGGGACTCAGTATGATTTATGTCTCGCAAAGTTTTGAAGTATACTGGTAAATGTTAGAGCTCGGATAACAAAGACGAAACGAGACGGTTAACGGTTCCCGAGGGTTTAGTAACTTTGGTACTGGTGATGGAGAGATGTAAGCCATTAAAGTACGGCATAAACAGGGTTATTAAGGGGAGTTAGAAGCCTATTTGGAAGGGTCTATGAATATAAAACATAAGAAAAATCAGTTGTGTGTGTGTATTTTTTTTATTTTATTATTACATTATAATTAAAAAATGATCAGTCCTATTTTTGAATCGTATTGTGTATGGAAAAAAATATGAATTTCCTTACTGTTAAGAAGAAAATAAGTGCTACGCTGTAATATTGGCGCAACACTAGATTATCGGCATAGATGTCACGTCCCTATCTGACAGCTGTCAAATGTCATTGGACGTATTGAAATAGCGCGCCATCCTTGCAAGATATCTGGCTGTGAGTGTTCAAGTTACTATGGCTAGTTACAATAATAATTATAATCTTCATATAATTAGTTCCTCGTGTTGTATTTAATTTCCTTGTCCATACGTCGATAGATATCTGCATTAATTGCCGGAAACTATTGGCCTATTTTCGCGCTCTATTTCACGTCACTTCCGCATAAAGAACACACGCAAACAACAAAGTGAAATAACGTTATTTAAAAAACATGAACCTAGTCTACATTTATTATTAATGTTGCTTTTTTCATTTAAATTACATCCTTGGTCCTATAAATTAAAATTGCAAAATTATTTCTCAACAGGAGTGCAATTTCCATTAAAAATAACAGCTTGTTCGAACCCGGTACAGAAAAGCTATCAGCAAAAGGAAATTATCTTCTTTTATTGTTTTATTTCGAACGCTTCGAATCACATTTCAAGAGAAGAGCTTTGAACACAAAGTGGAAATTTCCAGAAGCAATTTTCTAGCGCATCTTTTGCGGGATTACGTGTTATTTCATCCATTAATAACGCTTTAACGATTTCTTTTTAACATCTTACATAATTCTTCTGATCTAATTTAGAGCAGGCGGATACCATTGACTAGATTATCGTACAATTGTTGTGCGATTTTCGATTGTTTTTCAGCCAATTCAACGATTAGTTGCACAACTAAAAATTGAGTAGTGTGCGCTCCATGTAAGCTGATAGGAATCAAAGCGAGACTAAACAGTTGTGCTATAGTTTATTAAGTTGTGGGCGCTCGTATCCAATTAAATTAATCTTTACCTACTAATTTATAAACGCATAGTCAAGGATAAAGCGAGCTGGCGACGTGCTGTCGATGCCCTCTACCCCACTACGGGGATAAGTCAATAGAAAGTACTTAGTTATGAATTCTTGTCTTCCAGCTAAGAGACCTCCGGTGGAAGAAACAGCGTCCTTCTTGCAATCCCTGCTGGCATCCCACGGGCCCAATTACCTGGAGAAACTGTTCGGCAGCAAGGCGCGCGACGCATTGGAACCTTTGGGTGGTGTTGAGAAAGTTGCCATCGCTCTTTCTGGTTAGTACAAAGTAAACTATAGTATTATCACAATTTAAATAAAGGAATAGAGGATATAAAATGTAAGGTAAAGGGCGAAAAGAATGCGATAGTAGACATAGACTTTAAAACATTTATTGAACACTAATGAAACAACGCACAAAGTTTTTAATTGTAAATTTTATACAGACGGACACTCTATCTAAATTAAATTGCATGATTAATTTTGACCATGGCTTCTATCTTTGATAGATCATTAATAAAAGCGTTTAATCTTGTGTAATGTTTATTTCCATTATTCCAGAATCTCAGACTATCGAAGACTTCGGCGCGGCCCTCCACCTGATGCGGTCTGATCTGGAACATCTGCGCTCCGTGTTCATGGCGGTTGAGAACGGCGACCTTGGCATGCTCAAATCCCTCGGAATCAAGGACTCGGAACTCGGAGACGTTAAGTTCTTCCTGGAGAAGCTCGTCAACACCGGCTTCCTTGACTGAATAGCGCCGGAGTCTGCCTCTGAATATTACCACGTCGTCCAATATGCTCCCATCAGTTCATCCTTCTATAGCTATCTCCCTTACGACTTCTATAAAAGGAATTAGGAATTCTGAACTCCCTTTTCTCTAAATCCTTGTGCGATTGATGTTTGATCGAGTTCTAGTTTGAGATTTTACTCGTTTAATCAATCGATTTCTGCAACCGGCCACGCAGACTCGATTTTTAAAACGATTAAATCTCAGTTGCCATTTGAAATTCTTGATGTAAACGGAGCAATAGTACAGTTCTTGTAGATGTAATAATTTATTTAAACTCTATATTAGGTTAGGTATATTTTTATAAAGCTTCTATAACTGTTTAAGAAAAAGTTACATCGGGAATTAATTATCGCGTCTATTAATTGTGAAATGCTAGCGACAATCGATATCATGACTAAATAAAAAAAACATAACGTCATAAATATCACAAAGATCAAGATTTTCGCTATAGTATTTCCAAGCCTTGATGTAACTTTTTAATTTTTATGTATGTATGGATTATGAATGTCGCCCTTTCCCCTCTATTTCGGAAAACTTGTCCCATGACGTAATAAAATTTCAGAGGCGACTCCATCGGCGCGTCCATTCTGAGCTAGATATAAAGCAAAAGGAAATTGTTCTTAGTTAGGAATTATATTAAGAAGTGGTAAAAAAAGATAAAAGAATGCATACGCTTTATATCTGGCTTTTAAAAAAAATCCAGTTTAGGACCACGGATACATATCATTTTTAAATTAAGATTAAAAATATATTAGTAGATGTATCAGTAATCTTATAAAGTATCATTATTTTAATATCGGTATTGTAGTTTACTGACATTTTTAGAACACCTTTTAAATAAATCGAAACATATCAAAGTATTAAAAGATGCTTAAACCGAAACATATCAATATTATGTGATTTTTAAATCGTTATATTAAATCAGTAGCGCTGCTATTTCACCTTTTAGAATATTTCTAATCTATTTCTAGTATTTAAATTTTATCTTCGATGTTGTAAGTGAAAACTATTTGTCAATACGGGCTGCAGACACAACGAATTATTGGAGATCGTTTGAAGGAAACACTTTTAAGAATAGCATTATGCAACATCTCTTATCAAATGCAATCAATCATAACATTGATTTTTTATATAATATAAGGTGGCAAAGGAAAGCAGCCACCCGAAATGGAAAGCGACCGCTGCCCATAAACATCAATTGCAGCTGCCTACCCTTAATTGACGGAGGAGACGCACATAAAGATATTTCCCCTTCATATGTGTCTCCTCCACAGTCAAATACACCTATCCTTCACATCCTTTTAAGAAAAGGGTAAAAAGGAAAAGGGACTAAAATTAGGCCTCCGGCATCATTCATCAGGCGAAACGCGGGATTAATAGAAAATATAGTAACAATTCTGTGTCTGAAGTTTCTATGCAATCGCCAAATCTATCACTCTTCTAATTTAAGGAACTATACACTATAGTGTGTCTAAATAATTTAGATTAGTTTGACAATTCATTTCAAATTTAGTAGGGATGGGTTGTGTATAATCAGTCATGAATCTTATCGATTTTTATTCTTATAGAAGTTTTAATCGATAGATTCATAGTTGTAACTTGTGAATTAAGGAAAAATAGTGTTTTCTCAAATTAGTAATGACCATAACAAATAATGAGAATAAATAAATGTTTATTACTACTAAAGCCGTACGTAATCGAATTGGATTTCACTATTATTTCTGTCATCGCTAAATTCTCTACACTATAATCAATACTAGAATTGTCCTCTAAATTAGTGAATAAGAAAATAATAATTTTAGTCGAGTTTGATAATTACTTAAACCGAATATCGATAGTTCAAAATTGTTCGCTATGTGTGTTTTATTCGTCACTACGTTTCCTGTCTATTAGGTATGGCATTTGCCTTCATACAATTGAGTTCGATACTTCATATGCGTCATTTATCAAACTAATCTATCTTATTTAGACAAACTATATACTTAAAATATTCAACTCACATTAGAAATAAGTATATGTACGTAGTAAAAGTTTATTCTATTAAAAGTGTTATTAAAACGATACTTCGATACAGATATCTTGCATCAGATCTTACGTAATATCGATTAAATATTTATCAGTAGAAGTTTTAGCTCTAAATGTTTAAGTATATAGCTTATCTGTTCTTGATTAACGTATAAATAAATGAATCATCAAACCGTTTGTTTCATTTCTAACCTAATCTACCTTTACATTATAACCTCTCTCTGTCTTCTTGTCTTATGTACCCAAAGTGGGGAAGAGGGCGTCACAGTACGCACGTCGTCACTTTATAACCTAAAAATTAGAGAATTCTAGATTCATTTCATGTTAATATCACTGGTATCCATAGCATTATTCAATTAAACAACATATAGAAAATCACACTGGATTCCGTCTATCTAGTTAACTGCTACTCAAAATTTTAGTCTTGTTTTATATACTTTCAATTATCTTCAACCTTGACGTTGGCGAAATCATCGAAATAACGATGAGGTCCACTAATCATTAAAAGAAGAATTAAAAACATGTAGAAAAAAAAGTAAAACGTGAATTAAATAAAATGGTAATAATAATTGGGGAATAAAATTTAAAATATAAAAATAACTTCAATCACATTGTAT